TGGGGTCATGAAGAGTTGGACACGACTTAACGACTGAACAACAACAACAACGAGAGAGATTGTATGTCCCAAAGACCTCTGACCATGATCAAGTGAAGTGTTGTAACCACTACGCCGCACTAGATTTCAATCCTATATGCCTTCCAAACTGCAGTAAAATTGATTAAGAGGATGATTTTGGAAACATTAAAACAAATCCCTTAAGAAATGATAAAAATAATCAACTGATTTAGATTATGTAAGAGGATAGTCTTGTTAAGTCTATGCTAGCAAAAATTAGGGGGACTCTGGTGGCACCTTTTAGAATCTGTTATTGGAAAAGCCCTTGGGGCTCAACAGAGGGAGCCCTTTCAGTTTTAAAAATCCTGAAGGTCTGAGTCAACCCATTAATATAAGAAAATACTAAACTCAAGAAACATTCCTTACAAGGTTCCCTTTTGCTTTTGCAGCCTGCTAACTGCATTGCATTTTCTGATGCTTTTGCTTATATGTAGCTGGGGGGAAAAAGACTGCTGATACATGAATAATATTAACATTACAAGAAGACACAAAAAGGAAGGGCCGTGCCTCCTGGGGCCAGGAAACAGCCTTCTGAGTGCTGGAATTAGCCTCCCCCCCTTCCCCCAAGTCTGTGAATATTTTATCTATCTTCACAGAAGCTGAAGAGACTGTACATGGATTTGCATAAACATATTCCAGTGTTGCTAGACCCATTTTTTTTTCTTAGCAGCCTTTCAAAACCATAGACTTCCCAAAGTGGCACGGAACCTAACGTTAACACAAATACTATGCTTACATATAAGCAGTTCTAAATAAAGCCAATTACAGTAAAATATAAATTCAGAGTATCTTTTAGAACATATAAGGTGGGCACATGGCCACACCTAGATAAGCCACCAAACTGATTCCAATATGGTAATGATTCACAAATACTAATTTTTAAGATGCCTCAACAAGAGAGATTTGTCTGCAGATTTCTAGCCTCAGTGTCTACTTGCTGCTGTTATTTTACACTGTTGGCAGACTGATAGATCGTTGGAGACAACATGACACAGACCTCTCAGCCATAATAGTTGAGACAGAGTTCCCATTCAAATGTTAGCCCTCAAAGAACTTAACATCTGCATGTTTCAAGATTAAGAATGCTTTCTACTTGGATGATGAAATCAATCCTTAGGACAGTGCAATCCTAAGTTGCATTGAGGATGAGGGGCTGCCCAGCTTTTTCAAAGCCTTTCACTCAAGCTGAACAAGGCAGCAAGTCAATGATCACATTTTCTTCTGATTATTTTCTCATTCCTTTCCCTGCGTTCCAATGGGAAGGAAAATATGAATGTACACTTTAGGCAAGCCTAGGTGAGGGACTACTTAGGACTTCTTAAGGGAAAGAAAGGGTCCTAGAATCAGCTGATCCAAACTCATCTTCCATCTGACCTTGCAACGTTCCATTTGGGGGCCCAGCACCAATGCTAGGTCCCTGCAGGCAAGCTACTCGACTGGTGGTGTGATGTTTTGGCACTATTCTAGCCACTTCCAGCCCCCAGACCTGGGGGTTAGAATTGTTGCTTGTTTTCAGTCATTTCATGGAGGAGGAATTGCTGTAGCACTTTCTCCATTACTAAAATAAAAAACAGGCAGGCATTAATACGCTGCACATCCTTTAAAAGAGCACAGCATTAATGTCCTCTTAAAAACAACATCTCCCACTCTACAGATTCAATCTTCTTCCATTCTTATAATTTCTCTCACGTAAGAGACACAGAATCAGAAGCTGAATATTCTTTTAATCATATATGTATAGGGCCAGTTGTCAATACTCTCTGGTGCTGCAGCCTATAAAAGATGCATAGGAGGGAGTCAGTGGCCATTCTGGTATTTGTGCATGCTCACAGGGTGTCTTGCTTATGGCCACAATCTTGATTACATAATATTAACCATACGGAAAGAGCATCAATAAAACCATGTATGAATCAGACAATAATAAGACAACATCAGCCAACAGAATTCAAATTGCACAAAATGTTTATTTGCATTTATCTAGTACATTTAACCTTCAGGGGCTAGATTGAATTTGCGGGAGGGCATGTTCAGTTGTTTTCAATCTCAACACTTTTCACCCTTAAAACAAGCACATTAAAAGTTACCATGAAGGCAGCAGAATTATTTAGAACTAGTTTTGACAAAAGCAGAGCATTAGACACATTTTAGTGGTTTTAACAGTACTACATTTGATTAAAAGAACTCACATAAAGTGAAAATATTTAGAGTCAGAAACATCAGTTAAGAAAATAAAAAAGACAGAGCTATGTCATTCAGATAATTCAGGACTGACATAGTAAATGTTTTAGTACTCTGATGTTTTTTCTGAAATGCTACTCAGAAAGTTAAGCAAGTTCTGCTCCAACCCTTGGATTCCAATAGCTATGTGGGAATTTCTTGTAAGGCTCTTCAATTCTTTTCCAACTGCGTATATAAAATGTTTGCCATGCTGATAAAGAGTGACACAACTACCATTTATTCAGAGCCCTATAGACACATTTACACTCTGAACAGCTTTGGAAGTGAGTCCTGATGAGATACAATGTTATAGTCATTAGCTAATACTGCATCGAAACCAGGTTCCTTCAGAGCATCCATCCCTGCCTAAAAATTGTATACAAAGGCATCCAATTCTAGAAGCTATGCTACAACCAACTGGCAAATTTTGAAGAGATTACGTAACTACTGAAGGATGGGGGGGACAACCCTTCCCTGACATATTTATAGTTTAGGTCTATTGTTTCACAGGTAAAATATCCAGAGTAAAATCTGAAAAAGGCAACATGTTTCATTTTAGTTTTTTTTTTAAACACTTACATGAAAAAGAGCAAGTTACAAAAAGAATAAATTCAATCTTAATATAAGACATTTATAGTACAGTGGGACACACTACAGTAACTGGACACTGACCATCACAATGAAAATTCTAACATCTTGTCATTTAATAAACGCATCACACAACCAAACTGCAACCATTCTTTATCATCCCAACTACTAAAAAAAAGATACTTTTGTAGTTTTGGTACTTTAAATCCCAGACTGAGGAGACATAGCAAGTCTTCTAAGTTTCTCTTCCTTAAAGGCCATTTGGGTGTTATAGTGAACCACTCACTATTAATATTCAAAAGTTTATCAGCAACTCTTTAGTTTTCAGAAATGGCAAAAGTACAGTAGCGAGGTTACATCCAGCCAGAGCAACTGGCCCAAACTAGTAATCTTGAATACTGTAAGGACAGAGTCTTAAAATCACTAGGGAGTAAACCTCATGAATACAGTGAGACTTATTTCTGAGTAAACAGGCACAGGGTTGCACTATAACCTCTACTTGAGCACCAAATGTCTTATGAATCTACAAAATTACTGATGCTTTAGAGTCATTTAAATGTTACAGCTGTTAATTGCTGGTCACCTTTCTAACTAAAATGTTCAGAATGCTTTCACATAGATACCTGCAAATTCCTCTAGAAATGGCACTGTATTAGGTAGCACTAGTTGTATCCTTAAATATACTCCACCCAGGCAATTCAGTTTACCACAGAGGGTAGAGGTTTTTCAGGTTAGATTGGCAAAGCCAGTTTTGGAAATTATTATCAATCACATTTTTTAAAATGAAAACCCCGGAAGAAATATTATCTGTCAGGACAATACGTGGAATGTAGCCATTTTTTTGGTTTTTGCAAAAAAACAGCTATGTTCTTTTAATTTTTTTTTTAAAAAAAATCTTATAAAAGTCACACTGGTTCATCAGATTTGGGAAGGGAGAACTAAAGCCTATCTGCCCATGATTTGTATTTTATGAAATTATTTGTGAAAAGTGATAGAAGCAATTTTAAAAATGTGGCTTTGCTATCACATAAACTTCTACAGTTCAAAAGTTTACATCATTTAAAGATGCAGAAGTTAAACTTATGACATACATTAAAAAAAGAATTTGTAAACATCAGGATACCACCCATTTTTCACATAACTGTAGCTTGTTAATGTGGAATGGATATTTAATAATGCAGCATGTTGGTTTGAACCACAATCCCAAGTTGGGCTTAAATGGACTTAAATGCCCTAAAGTTTACTGGTTAGATTTAGCCTCCACATCTTCACGGTGGATGCAATATGAAAAGGACACACTTCTGTGCAAGCCACACTGAAATGAACAGGAGGGCTATATTCTTGCACAAGTCCTATTTATTTCAGTTGGGGCTTTCCTAGGAAAGTGCTTAGAGAACTACATTCTCCAGCACTTGCTATACAAACTGTAATTCTACAAAACATTTTTGTCCCTTAAGTTCACAGTAAAGGTGAAAACGATCGAAGTCAGTGCATTTTTCCCTGTGCAGTCCCCCTCCCCACATTTCCCCAGAATGTTTTTTCCCTAAGTAATACTGAGTCAAAGGCATATTGTTGTTGCAGATGTGTCTGTCTTTGTATTTAATATCATAACTGAAGGATGATATCTGCAGGACTTCTGTAAAGATACTTCCAAATAGCGTAATAATGAACTGCAGCTGCCGTGGCAACAAACAGATGCCAGATGGCATGGGCAAATGGAATTATTCCATCACTCTTGAAGAAGATCACTCCCATGCAATAAATTAAGCCTCCCCAGGCAAGTTCTTGAAGCCCATCGGTGTTGTTCTGCAGATGAACAGAAAAGTGAACAAGTTTCTTTTTTACCTGGTTGCATATAACAGAACAGTCATAACACTAAAACAATAGAGTATAATTTCTGTTCAGACTAAACACAGACAAGCACTAGATATAAAACTCTTAGTTGGTATCGACATAAACAACACTTGCTGGCTTAAGACTAAGAGGCTCTGTAGTACAGCAACCTGGTCTCTGCAGTGACCAGCAACATATTTATTGCTTTAGTGAAGGAGGATTATTGTGCCCTAGGGTTTTTCAATCCTCTCCAGTAGCCACTGGTGTTGCTATCCAAGTAATGCAGGTAACAAGGAGATATGGAAGAGGAAAAGGAGGGGGGGGGATCTATGTGGAGAGGTAAGACCCATTCAGACATAATGATTCTTTCCTGTGTCTCTTCTATTCCTGAAGCTAGCCTGAACAGTCAGGTGGAGTGGCCACAGACCTTGATACTGCTTCTACTGAATACCAGGTTGGTCTCTAATAAAAAATGTTAACATCCATGATGTTAGAATAAATCAAGAACTTAACCAATATTTATAACAGCAATTTGTATGGGTTCACCTACTGCCAACCTGTTACTTCATAGAAAAGTGGCCCACACCTTGGGCTAGGGCTAGGGCTAGGGTGTTGCTGTAGTCAATCAGGACTCGATCTTCCATTTCCACCCCTCTTCCCTCTAGGACTTGGCTACCTTCAATATACTGGCTACCTCAGTGCCGAACGGAATCCTTGGCTGAGCTGATGCAGATAGTCTTAAATGTAGTACTGGAGATCTCAAGGCTTCCAACTTCAACTTCCATGCTGAAGTTGCCTTGTTAAGCACAGTTCGTGATTTCATGGATTTGTGCATTAGTTTGGCTTCCCCTCAAAGGTTAATGGATCTGACTGAATTCTAGATGATTCTGGGGAATGTCTTCTCTGTCTTCTGGGGAATGTCGTCTCTGTCTTCTCTGACCAAGTGCCTTTCAGTGGCTTGACTGAGATGTGGAATAACTAAGGCTCTCAGCCTAAATGCCCCTGTCCCTTAAAGAAAGCAGTGACGAAACCCTTGCTCAAAAAACCATCTCTGGACCCAACCAATTTCTACAGCCCTCTCTCTATAGCCAAATTAATGATGAAGGCAGTAGCACTGCAACTCCAAAAGATTCTTACAGATAATTATCTACATCCCTTTCATCTGGACTCAAACACAGATGTGACACAAAGACAGCCCTGGTCCCTCTCACAGATAATCTGTATGGGAGAGACGCTTGCCATATCTCTCTACAGCTTTTATACTGTTGATCACCATATCCGTCTAGAGCATTAGGAAAAGCTCCATCTTCTGTCCATGCAGTGCTAGGAAATAGTTTCCAGGATGCTGGACATTAACAGTATACTTCCAACATAAGCGGGGCAACATTGTTCATGTATATCCATTAAAGTTGTATCATTTCAGTTAATTTAATATTACTAAAACTCCTGAGGAGTTAGATAATGCTCAGGTTATTATTCATTCATTTTTTAAAATTTATATCTTGCCTTTTACACAGGAACTCACAGAGACATAAGAATGCTCCCTCCTAACACCTAACCACTACACCCTACTGGAGGCCTTAAGATGTTGCCTCTTTCTGTACATTTGTGTTGTCCCAATACTAAAAAAAGAAAAAGGAAGAAAAAAATAAAGTCGGCTTCTTAGTACTCTTTTAAATACACCAGTGATTGCACAGGTTTTTTTTTAAATGCAACTATTCATTTTAGGATTAATTTTTAATTTGTTTTTAATTCCTTTAGCAAATATGCATTCCTTACCATGGAAGTTACCACTAGAGCAGGAGAAAATCCCATTGCTAAATAGAAGAAGAGCTCCACAATTTTATACCTACAGACAAAAACAAAGATATATTAGCCTGCAATTATGTAAACAATGCTTTCTTGGTCCAGAAATACAACATATTTTTGCTTCAGTGTCAACAATAAATTCCTTTGTTCATGAACAGAAGCAAACTTCAACAAATCTTTAATGGTAGATTTGTTAATATTATGTAAAGCAGCCATAAAATGGGAAGAGTTTCTTGTTGGTTCAATTTCCATTATTAGTAGATGGAGAAAATAACAGCATGTGTAAGTATGTAAGTACCTCTCTCTCTCCACCTCCCACAGATATTCCAAAGGAAGACTTTCCCTTACACTGGGAAACGCATTCCTAGGTAAGATATACTTTTCTATACAGAAAAAGATATACTCCAACCACGTATGAGAAAGTATCTTGTGTAGCTCAGCATAAGAAGCTCTAACAAGAGTGTCCAACATCTACTGGTCCAAGATCTGCACAAGGCTTCATGTACCATGCTGGAGGCCAAACAGTGTTGGGACAGAGCTAAAGCAGTTCTGATTTGCGGTGGGTTTGGAGAAATGTGCCTTCGGACTTTGGAAGAATAAAGGCTCTGATCTTGTCCTTAGAAATTGCCCCAATCCATCCTCAAATGGAAGAAAACAAAAACAAAACCCTGCACGCTTGAAAGAGATGCTGAAAGGCTGCCTGTGGCCCACAGACTGTAATTTTTGCACCCGTGCCATGATTTAGAAATGTCTTATGAAACTGAGCAGGAAGAGATCTGAGTAACCTTGCTCCACAGCATCACACACGTGAAATAATCTCCCTTGAACTTTGTATGTATAGCAAAAATGCCTGTAACCATTCTTTTGGATATGTGAAGGCTTAGGGGAACTTGTATATGTGGAAGCAAAACTCCTCTTGCTACTAACATTCAGGCTGTGTCTGGGGTCACCTGGGGGGGGGGGGATGAAGTCACATGACTGGTGTTGAACAGAAGCAGAACTACTTCCTGTCCTTAATTTTTTTTGTGTTAGTTATTGTTTATTTTACTTGATATTGCTGAGAACCCGGAGTGGTGTGACTCAGTTTGTAATATAACTACAAGCTTATATTACAGAGATTACTGACTGGTAGAAAACATCACTTCAAGTTATTCTGGTTTTTCTTTTTTTAAAATTATTACTATTACTTCCTTTTTTCTTGTTTTTTCTACTTTTTAGGTATTTTAGGTATTTTAACTTTTATTAAATTTGCTTCATCTACCTTTTATTTCCTTTTATCAACATATAAACACACACACACACATATGTATGTATGTATGTATGTATGTGTTATATAACCAATACTTTGATGTGAATTACATTGATTCTTTTTTTTTATTTTATACTTAACTTTGGATGAAAAGTTAAATAATCTCATGCATGTAACACTGACATCCTAAATGAACTGTGGGACTGAGCCATGATAAGAAAGAAAGAAAGAAAGAAAGAAAGAAAGAAAGAAAGAAAGAAAGAAAGAAA